TGTATGTGGGTGTGTGTGTAAGAGAGTATATATGATGAGTGTGTGTGTGTGTGTGTGTGTGTGTGTAAGTGTGTGTGTGTGTGTGTGTGTGTGTGTGTGTGTGTGTGTGTGTGTGTGTGTGTGTGTGTGTGTGTGTGTGTGTGTGTGTGTGTGTGTGTGTGCAGGAGATGCGCAGTCCACTGATCATCCTTCAGTCATCGCCGTGTTTAAGACGCGCTGCAGTCCTGCATTTGAGCTGCTGCCGTGGTGCGTATGAAGATTATTGGATTATATCCTGCATTATTTATTTCAGACATGTGCATTCAAGGCCTGAAATGGACTTAATAACTAACAATTTTATTTAAAGTGCTTCAGTTTGAAATAAATGTGTTTCTGGTGTTATTTCATCCGCTCAATCGTTAAAAACGGAATGAAACAATGGAGAAATCCTTAATTACAAATCCTAACCCTTGTGTGCTGTTCAGGTTTGACAGTAAAATCTACACACACCGTCCCTCTCCCCAACAGGGGAAACCAGCAACCGTCAAGAATGCAGGATTATCTGCTGTCAGGGCTTTACAGTCAATAAATGATATTATAATGGAAGTCAATGGGGCAAAAACAGCCCCAACATCACCAAAGGAGTCAGTCTGGACAGTGTGTTGATGAGTTTATAAACATTTTCAAAGCATTTTCCCAAAATATGTGTCAAAATAAGATCAGTCAGCAGAGATCGTTCTGCAATGCTCCAGCTTTCTTGTATCTGTGTTTGCACTCGGTGAACAGTGGTGGACTGATGACTTTCACAGCCAATCACAGTCACTCCTGTTGAGCAGGTGAACACAGTGGCCAATCAGCGCTGTTTAGGAACACACCCAACAGCACGCAGATTTAAGGGGAAGTGGACATTGGACATTTTAAAAGTTTAGTATTAAACTCAAATCTTTTGACCATCCTACTTCAGGGTAAAGTCTAGTGTGATATGCACATTAATAAAGGAAGTGTGATATGCACATAAATGAAGCAGCATTTTTTATGACACTCTATAATAATAATTGATATTTTTACGTTACTGTGAGGGTTGGGGTGGGGGTAGACATTAATAAATTACAATAAATGGGAAATTTAATAAATAATAGAAATAACTCTTGTTAACTTCCGGCCGCAACCATATCCAAACTAGCAGCGACTCTAGTTCAGAGCATGCGTCGCTATGTCGACTCGCACACACTGAATGTGACGTCAGGGTTTGAATCTGAAAGCTCGGGTCATCTGTATAGGTCAGCAGGTCACGTCCTGACGCTGTGTTTCTCTCCTGCAGTGGGTTTGTGATGGGCGAAGCTGGAGCCGAACCCAGATTCATGCAGTTCCACCCGCACTTCCAGCACGGCGCTCTGCTGACGGTGGTGAGACAGATGTTGTGTGTCTGTGTAGATGTCGTGCGTCTGTAGATGTTGTGCGTCTGTAAATGTTGTGATCTTCTGTCTGGTGTGTTTCAGTGCTGGTCTGACGGCAGAATCACACACGTGCCATTTTACTTCAGCAGTGCTGGACTCTCAGACTCACAGCGGCCGGCGGCTCTGAGCACTGCTGACCGCTCCATCAGCAGACTCTACACTGAAGATCTACACTGAACACCTCCATCAGATCCTCCACTGACCGCTCCATCAGCAGACTACACTGATGTTAGTCCACTTCTGATCCTGTCAATAAATCCTGATTTCCTAAGCAAACTGCTAGTGCTGCTTTCTGTCTATTGTACTCTTGCTTGTATTTCTAAGGCATACTGAGGGCTCCTATTTTAGCCCGTGTGCAAGCTGTAGGATCAGTGTTTGGTGTGTCCAGATTGGACCGATGCTCTTATTCTAGCCTGAATAAAACACATCAGACTTTCTCCAGAAGAACAAATATTAGAGGAAACACTGAACAACTTCTGTATTTGAGAAACATCATTTGGGAAATATTTAAAGAATATAATTACAGGAGGGGGAATAATTTTAAATACTTGTGTTATACTCGTCAGCTAGAATAACAGCAGTGTTTAATAGTGTTAAAGTCATGTTAAGCTCAATATTATTCACCCCTTCAGCAATATTAGTGTTGGATTGTGTCCAGAACAAACCACTGTTATACAATGACTTGCCTAATTACCCTAACTTTACCCTAATTACCCTAGTGAAGCCTTTACATGTCACTGTAAGCTGAACACTAGTGTCTTGAAGAATATCTAGTCTAATATTATGTGCTGTCATCATGATGAAGAGGAAACACATCAGCTATTAGAGATGAGTTATGAACACTGTTATGTGCAGAGATGTGTTGGAGAAATCTGCTCTCTGATAAACAGAAATTGGGGAAAAAAAATAAATGAATTAAAATATACACACATCCATCCTCAATGTGTTATGTGCAGTAAAAGCACTGATGATTTTTAACTTTAAAAATAAACACATTATTAAGGAATTGATAATTAGATGTGTTCATTGGTCCATAAGCAGTAAGAGTCCTGCGTGTTCCTCCTCCTCCTCCTGTAATGCTGTACGGCTGGGGGGTCGCGCGTGCGCTGCCGTGATTCCGATACGGGATGTTCGGCGCATCACGTGATCTCCCGGAGTCCCGAACAGGAGAAATGTCCGTTCTCCCGGCAACCGGCGCTGCGGCTTCAGCTCCTCCAGCTCTCGGCGGCTCCAGGTGTCCTTGAGGCCGGCAGAGGCTCCAGCGGGACCCGCGCTCCACCTCAGGTACAGTACCCGCTTCTGCTGCTCCCTCCGCGGACACCGAGGCTCCAGTGGGCCGGTCACCGGGAACTCCAGCACCGTCATTAACGCGTGTCGGTGATTACAGCATCTGTCCGGCTGACATGACGCATGTGTGTTAGTGAGGACACACACACACACACACAGACTTGTTCCTGTATCCCGCTGGGGACGCTATATCTGTAGTGCTGTCTCTACTGTACAGACTGCATATTCACTCCTCAACCCTCACAGCGAACACTCTGACCTCCTACATCCTCACAACACTCCATTCTGCCTGATTTATGAGCATGTTTAACCCGTGGACACTCAATATTAGGCGTTCATGCTTAAGTCCCCGCGGGGATATACAAATAAGTACTTAAACACACTCACACACAGATTTGTTTCTGTATTCTGGTGGGGACTCTTATCTTGCTGTAGTGCTGTTTCTACTGTAGATTCGCCCCTAAACTCAACCCTCACATGCAGATTTATATCTTTAAAATCCTTCATTCTGATTTATGCGCGTTTATCCTTCAGGACCTTAATTATGGTTCCCACGAGTCTGTGTTTGTTCAGGTGTAAGTCCCCATTGGAATATAAAAACAAGTACACACACACTGCTTGGAGACCGCAGATGTCATTGAAGGCCCAGATCACAACAACAAACACTGACTGTCACATTGTCACAGACATTCAGATATGGCAGAGCTCATAGACGTTCATTAATGACTACACAAGCTGATCTGCATTAATGTCTGCTGTGCATCACACTGCTGTTTAATATGATTTATATGAGTCATTAATATTATTTTTATTCTCTTAGTGCATTTCATATGGCCTATTTTAGTTTATCCAACAGTTGTAATGTAAGTTTAACTGGTGTGATTACATGTTTAATGATGTAGTGTTCACTTATAGATCAAATATGCTATAAAATCAGCAGTCTTCAACAGCATCATGTCCATTCCACAGCCGGCTCTATATAGTCACAAAAGGTTTTTACTGCTCATAAAAACCTGGAATGGGTTATTAGTTTTATTAGTTTATGCACATAATATTAGACTAGATATTCTTCAGGACACTAGTGTTCAGCTTACAGTGACATGTAAAGGCTTCACTAGGGTAATTAGGGTAAAGTTAGGGTAATTAGGCAAGTCATTGTATAACAGTGGATTATTCTGGAGACAATCCAACACTAATATTGCTGAAGGGGTGAATAATATTGAGCTTAACATGACTTTAACACTATTAAACACTGCTGTTATTCTAGCCCAAATAAGGCTTTCTCCAGAAGAGCAGATATTAGAGGAAATACTGAGAACATCTACAATGCTGCATTCTGTATTAAACTGTGTGTGTGTGTGTGTGTGTGTGTGTGTGTGTGTCCTGACCCCCACAGCATCTTCAGGTGTTGGCCAGAGGAGAGTTTTGATGGACCGCATGAAGATCATTAAGAAGCGTCTGTCCATGAGCTTGCAGAGCGTGCGGCGTCTGGACGAGAGTCTGTGCGATCTGCCCGAACACACAGGACTGGAGGAAGGAGATGGTGAGAAAACACACACATTCATTCATTCATTCATTCATTCATTCATTCAATTTCTTGTCAGTTTAGTCCCTTTATTAATCCGGGGTCGCCACAGTGGAATGAACCGCCAACTTATCCAGCAAGTTTTAACACAGTGGATAAAGGCAGTTTAAAAAAACACAAACTTTTTTTTATATATGATGTTTTCTGCTCCTTTCTACACGCTGTAAATGTGTCTGCTTTGTTTCTCGTGTGTGTGTGTGTTTGAGCTGATAATGTTCTCCAGCTCTCTGAAACGGCCCCTTTCAGTCACTTTGATCCTAATCGTGGTGTTTTGGTGACTGTCGCTTTAAATGCAAATGAGATTGTGCTCTTTTCAGAAGAGGGCGGAGCTACAGACGCCTGTGCATCAGCATATAGCGCCAGATATAAACAGCAGTGTGTGTGTTGTGAGTGCTGGTCAGGTGTGTGTGTGCTTCAGTGTGTGTGTGTGCTTGATGCTTCTGTCAGTCTATGTGGCTCCTTCATCTAGAACTCCACATCTATAATCCTCTTAGTCTATGCTGACATCCTCTTCAGCAGCTCAAACACTCTAATGGCTAATGGACAGACGGCTGCTTCTCACTCAGGGCTGCTGGACATGCTAATGAGATGGAGAGATGGACACTAGTGGGCGGGGCTTTCCCCCTCTGATGACACATACAAAGGGAGAATGTCAATCACAGTGTTTCTGCATCAAGTCTGATTAATTAATGTTGATTATTAGAGACTGCTGGAGATACTCACACACTGCTGGATTATAAAGGTGATTTCTGCATAATAGGTGTCTTTTAAATATGGATCAGTGGTCTGCAAGTGGTTTTGATGGTCTCTTTAGCACTCTTTGTTGACTGCACTGCTGTTCTTACTTAATGACTACTTAATTACTCAATCTACAATAAGTATAACAGTACAAATATAACTGTGTGTGTGTGTGTGTGTGTGTGTGTGTGTGTGTGTGTGTGTGTGTGTGTGTACAGAGGTCACCCATGGTAAAATGGGGTCAGATGGGGAAAGTGATCAGGCTTCAGGAACATCCTCTGATGAAGTTCAGAGTCCTGTACGAGTGCGCATGCGTAACCTACATCAGCGCATCTCCAATGAGGTAAATCACACTGTTGTACTCACAGAGACGCACACAGACACATACCAGATGAGTATTATGTAGGTGATTGTGTAAAAGCCAGTTCTGAACAGTCTAAATCTTCTACATCGAGCGGTTATTACCTGATCATCATGTGGAAGACTCTTTTCACTGGGAAACATGCGTATCTTACAGTTTTTGTCTTGTTTTTACTTCAAATATTCTTAAATCAGTCAGCATTTTCCAGACCAGCACAGAATATAGTGTTGTGTTCAGCAATCATGAGTCAAAATGAAGAGAGTTTCTCCTGAAAACAAGCAGAATATATAAAATAGTGTCATTTCAAAGCAAAAACACGATTATTCTGCTCACTTCAGTTTAACTCATTATTGCTGAATATATATATATATATATGTGTGTGTATTTTATGTGATTAAATGTTTATTGATTGTACATGTGAGTGGTCACAGCATGTTTACATGATCTTACCAATAAACAAAACAAGATCCACTCCTCAAGCCCCCTGCGCACCCAGAAAACACCCCCCCACACCACCCAGCGGTGCCAAAGTCCACCCCATCCCACAAATAGCACTGCAATCAAGACAAATACCTGACAGAAACTACATACATACGTAAGAAACACACATCTTAAACACAAACATAATAAATTCAGGATAAATTTACAAGAAATGTATACATTTATAGAAAGTAATACACATATACTTACATGTATGTACAGTTGCAATCATAATTATTCACCCCCCTGTGAAGTTTCTTTCTCCAATATTCCCCAAATGATGTTGAACAGATTGAGGAAATGTTCACAGTGTGTCTGATAATATTTGTTCTTCTGGAGAAAGCCTTATTAGTTTTATTTGGGCTAGAATAACAGCAGTGTTTAATAGTGTTAAAGTCATGTTAAGCTCAATATTATTCACCCCTTCAGCAATATTAGTGTTGGATTGTCTCCAGAACAAACCACTGTTATACAATGACTTGCCTAATTACCCTAACTTTACCCTGATTACCCTAGTGAAGCCTTTATATGTCACTGTAAGCTGAACACTAGTGTCTTGAAGAATATCTAGTCTAATATTATGTGCTGTCATCATGGAGAAGAGGAAACACATCAGCTATTAGAGATGAGTTATTAACACTGTTATGTGCAGAAATCTGCTCTCTGATAAACAGAAATTGGGGAAAAAATAATGGGGGCTAATAATTCTGACTCCAGCTGTATGTTTAAATGCATATCAGATGAGTTATGAGTTATGGTTGTGTAAATAATTGTGTAAATCCAGTTGTGAATGATCTAACATTGAGCTGTTATTCTCTGGTGCCCCTTTGGAAGACTCGTTTACACTGCAGAAACTGGCTTCACTTGCTTATGGTTTGAGTCTGTTTCTAGTCCAAATATCTCAAAACTCTTAAATCAGTCAGCATTTTCTAGAGCAGCACAGAACATAGTGTTGTGTTCAGCAATCATGAGTAAAAATGAAGAGAGTTTCTCCTGAAAACAAGCAGAATATATAAAATAGTGTCATTTCAAAGCAAAAACATAATTATTAATGAGTCAAATGAAGAGAGATTCCCATTTAAACAAGCAGAATAATCTGCCACTGAGGGAGTGATGTTGTTTTATTCTGCGTGTTTCAGGAAAACTCTCTTGATTTTGAGTCATTATTGCTGAAAACACTATATTCTGTGCTGGTCTAGAAAATGCTTCTTAATTTAAGACGTTCTAGATTATCAGAGAGAAACTCAGAGTATAAGCGCATGTTTGTGCAGTGTGTGATCGCCTCTTTCTCTACAATAGTTCTGTGTAGATGGTGAAGTGTCCTCGAGCTCTGGAAAGCGCTGTATGAATCAAGCATCTCTGTGTTATGAGCTGCACCGTGCTGCGTTCATCTCTGCCTTTCCCTCTTCAGGACATCAACAAGCGTCTGTCACTGCCAGCAGATATCCGTCTGCCTGAAGGCTACCTGAAGAAGTTCGCCTCAAACAGCCCTCCGTTTGACAAACCTTTAAGCCGGAGACTACGGAGAACATCACTGGTGAGGCTTCCTTCATGGAGATCTATCAGACATACACCAGACTCAGGATGACGGACTGAGAGAAATGCTGTCATCTTTAACTGACCCCGACCCTCTACCACAGCGGTCACCTGCCTCAGTCCTGGAGGTCCGGTGTCCTGCAGGGTTTAGCTCCAAATTGCCTCAACACACCTGCCTGGGTGTTTCAAGTACACCTGGTAAGAGCTTGATCAGCTGTTCAGGTGTGTTTGAGTAATGTTAGGGTTAAAACCTGCAGGACACAGAACCTCCAGGAACAGGTCTGGTGACGCCTGATCTACTAACACTGTGAGGCCCAAATGCAGAGAGCGGGAGCTGTGGAGGAGGCTGCTCGCTTACAGTTTCTGTCTTGTTTCTAGTCCAATAACCACAAATCAGGAAGCATTTTCTAGACATGTAGAAATACTGAGTGCAAATGAGGAGAGTTCACAGCTAAAACGAGCAGAATAATCTGACAATGACTGCCGTTTGTCTTGATTTCAGTCAGAGATCGGCTTTGGGAAGCTGGAGACGTACATCAAACTGGACAAACTGGGAGAGGTGAGACCCGGACACGCTCACATCTGGCTGTGCTGGCATCTTTGCTTTGGTCATACTGATGATGTCAGACTCATATTACAACACATGAAAACCACCAGTAATGCCACTGAGCATCAGTGCGTGTGTGTGTGTGTGTGTGTGTGTGTGGCGTGCATGCGTATACGTGTGTGTGTGTGTGTGTGAAGGCTGCAGTTATGAGTATTGCACAAAACAGCTGAAAGTCTGGAGACAGTGATGTTGTTTTTCTACTCTCCTAAATCTGCTGGGTTATTTCAGCCCAGTTCTGGGTGTAATACAGACTAATAACCCAGCATCACTTACAGTGTTTATCCTTCAGTGTGAAGTGTTGGACAGCTAAACAAACCCTTCACAGCTGTGTTTCTGTTCACATCCAGAGTGTTTGGATTCTGAATGCTTTGTCTACTGTATATAATGTGTGTGTGTGTGTGTGTGTGTGTGTGTAGGGCACATACGCAACAGTGTATAAGGGTCGCAGTAAGCTAACAGATAACCTGGTGGCTCTGAAGGAGATCCGGCTGGAGTATGAAGAAGGCGCACCCTGCACCGCCATCAGGGAAGGTAGAGCTCTAGCAGACACTCAGCGGAAGCGCTGCTCTGAACAACACTGCATGTGTGTGTGTGTGTGTGTGTGTGTGTGTGTGTGTGTGTGTGTGTGTTTGAGCTCTCACAGACTTTATGATTGATTTCTCAACAGTTCTGGGTCGTCTATCTGTAATGCTGTTTATTTATTTTATATTATATAGTTATCAGTATTTAAATTGACTGTGTGGTTAATAGCTGAAATAATTGTAATTTTGGGAATGTTCTGCTCTGGTCCTCTATCAGATCATCATCATTATTGTAATGGCTCAGACTGTACATTGCTGATCTGCTAACACTGCTGTTCTTACTCACAGTTTTGTTTCCAGTGCAAACATCTACAAACACTTCAATCAAGAAGCATTGTGTTTATTGTGTATCGTCTTGTTTTTAGCAATAATAAGTCAAAATGAAGTCAGTTTCTACTTTAAACGAGCAGAATAATCTCAGGGGTATTTTCCTTCACATTGGCAGGTTATTATATTTAACTAAAATCTGACTTCATTCATTTCCTTCTTAGCTTAGTGCCTTTAATAATCCGAGGTTGCCACAGCGGAATGAACCGCCAACTTATACAGCACATGTTTTATGCAGCGGATGCCCTTCCAGCCCATCTCTGGGGAAAAAACTGACTTCATAATGGCTTAATCATTCTGAAAACAAGACAATATACACAACATAACAAAGCAAGGTTCCTTCTTGATTTAAGAATGTTCAATTACTTTACTAAACAAGACCAAAACACTAAGCACATTGTGCAAAAAAGCAGAGTTCCACACAATTCCTCCATCCTGTCCCTACTCAAATTAATGAAGTTCCCTGAATCATTTTTACAAACTAAAGTGGATCAAACATAAAGTTTAATTGTCCCCAAAAAGAGTTTACAAGCAGCAGAACACCTTTATGGAGAGTAAGAGAGGTGTGTTTTTCAGTGTGAGATGAGTGTTAAACACACACACACACACACACACACACACACACACAGAATGATGCTTCGTCTGATGTTGATTAATGCTGCTGATGTTTTGTCTCCGTCAGTGTCTCTCCTGAAGAACTTGAAACATGCCAACATCGTCACGCTCCACGACATCATCCACACAGAGAAGTGCCTTACGCTCGTCTTCGAGTACCTGGTGTGTGTGTGTGTGTGTGTGTGTGTGTTATTCACTGCACTCTGATTCTGTCCACCTCTATCTGATGGATTTCTGCCGTGTGTCTGTTTCAGGACAGAGATCTCAAGCAGTATCTGGACAACTGCGGCAGCATCATGAGCATTTACAATGTAAAGGTGAGATTTAATCCTTTGATTGTCTAGTTTGACTCACACATCTCCTGGTTTGAAGCTGGCTGTGTTTTGTGCTTGTTTTGTCACATTAGCTTTGCAATAGATCATGATTCTAATATTGTGTCTAACGAAGAAAATAGCTGAATATTGACAACACTAGATATTTATAGAGGAGGATGTGGAGGTAATGAGGCGGTTCTGCCTCTAGAAGGCACTACACACACTTATAAAATCACGAACACAGAGACAGAGCCGTTATCAACATGACATTCAATATAACTGCCGTATCAGCAGCTGTGTGTGCATCATTAAATTTATGCACATCACTGGAATATTGCATAAAACATTAGTGAACATTTAAATGAGAAAATAAGATCATTCTGCTTCCTCCAGTGTCAGATTATTCTGCTTGTTTTACTTCATTTTGACTCATTATTGCTGAAAACAGCACTATATTTTATATTTGTCTAGAAAATGCTTGTCGATTTAAGATTTTTAGATATTTAGACTAGAAACGAGACACAAACTCTGGGTAAGAACAGTGTTTGATATAGGAGTGGACTGGGGCGCATGCTGGATTTTATTCCAAGGTACACACAAATCCAGCACCATCCGCCCCCTTCCGATGCCTGTATTTCAGTATTCAAACATTAAATAACAAATGCATCAAGTCAAATAAAAAAATATATATTTATTTTTAATTTAGCAAAATTCTGCTCTTTTTGTCTTTGCATTTTTATTATTTTATTTTTGTTACTTTCTATATTTTATTGTCTTCATAAATAAAGCTTTAGACAAAATCCTGCTTGATATTTCAGAAAATATTTAGTGTAGCTACCCAGCATGTGTTAAAGATCACTGAGAACAAAAAAAGAAAAAAAACTAAGGAAAAAAACACAGAAACATGTTACATGCCCCCATAAATGTCCAAATATTTAACTGAATCATAAAAACAATTGTGAAAATTGCTTATTTTGTTTTACAAAACATTTTATCTATTTTATTTTATTTTTTGTAAAAACAATACCGAAAAGAATCCATATTTGTTTGATTTATTCATTAATTTGACCTGTTTATTGGTGCATATATAATTTAACTCATACAACAGAACCTCGGCAGCTACAGTGCCACTAAAGCTTTCAAACACAACCCCAATAAAGCAATGAAAGATTCGACTTTCTCCCGTGACGGCCGACATCACAACACGCCGTAACCGTCCTTAAAGTGGCATAGCACCGGCATTACATTACAAAACAAGACGTCTGGCTTGACTGAAGTGCAGTTACTTCCTCGTTGTTCAAAGAGTCTGCGAGTTCGTGTTTCATGGATATAGTATGTAGCTTCAGGATTGTGAACATCAATAATGTTGAGCGTGTCTTTATTCGATGCACAGCAGAAAAAACAGTCTTTCAGCAGCGCATGCAGCTGTAGGTAAAGTTCCCTCCCGGAGTCCTCAGTGGAGAAACAACCATAACCATACACAAGTGTTCTCAGAACGATAGTGGAAAAGCAGGCAGCTGTAGTGTATACTGTTGAATAATCTATTTAAATGATGTCACATATGAATAATAATCAGCATTAATTCCCGCCCTCAGGTGCCACTGTACAATGTCAGGCTCTTGCAATCCTTCATTCAGTTCTGTCCTCTTTCTCTCCGTCATTCAGTATTGTACTCTCTCTCTCTCTCTCTCTCTCTCTCTCTCTCTCTCTCTCTCTCTCTCTCCATCTTCTGTAGATTTTCCTCTTCCAGTTGTTGCGTGGTCTGGCTTATTGCCACAGTCAGAAGGTTTTGCACAGAGACCTGAAACCTCAGAACCTGCTCATCAACGATAAGGGCGAGCTCAAACTGGCTGACTTCGGTAAGCGTTCAGCAAACACACAGAACATACGCATGTGTTCATCGAACAGACGTCAGGTATATGCTGTGGAATGGACTAAACTGATCACATTTAAAGTCATGTGAGTGGCTGCAGCACGGTTACATGGACATCAGTCTTCTCATATTTGTCATACTCTGAATAAGACAATCCTATGATGAAAGGTGTTTACATGAGCTGCTTTAATAATGTTCCTTTCATGATCTCGTTTTACATGTTACAGCACATTCACACATCCATTACCGTCATTGCCTCAGCATTTGATGCTTGTTTCCTCTGGTGTTTCACACAACTGCTTGTGTTCGTCATGGCACCATCGCATGGGATTTGGGGCGTTTTAACTGCAGTTAAATTTGCGTAAAACATTAGCGGTTAAGACATTAACATTTACATTAACTGCAGTTACATTTGTAGAATTAGAAGTAGAATAGGTTGACTGCGGTGTCTCCATGTCTGAACTGCTCTTCAGTAATGCACACAGGATTCACAGGATTACTCCACGTCTTCCTTCATTTGTGTTTAGTTCCATCAGGACTTTAGTCTGATTCCGGTCATCAAAGCTCTCTGTTCTCATGGTGGACTCTTCATCAGTGTATTGTGTTAAAGTTGTTCAAGTCAGAGTGTTGGTGTTCATGTAAACACACTGATTGTGCAGGTCTCGCCCGAGCCAAGTCGGTCCCCACAAAGACGTTCTCTAATGAGGTGGTGACGCTGTGGTACAGACCTCCGGATGTGCTGCTGGGGTCCACAGAGTACTCCACCCCCATCGACATCTGGTGAGAGACACATCCACATGGATATATTCGGTCCAATTGTAATTGAAACCAATTGAAACCAGGCATAATCCAGCCATCTGTTTTAAACTACCCATATTACCAGAATATAACAGAGATATGATCACGAGCTCTACATTGTGGGCACCTGCTCTCCATATTCTGCTGCTTTCAGTCTTTTAAGCCCTCACGTCTCTGTCAGAGCTGCTGAGATGTTTACCTTTATCTTGTGGATATTGCTCAGAGATTCAGCCATTAGTTTCTGCTTTTATATGTAGTGTCGGTTTGTTTTGCTTAGATTAATATTAGCTGGTTATGAACATCTGCTCCTTCACCTCTTGCTCACTCTGCACTTCAGTTTATACTTTAATCACACCCAATAGCGGGACGCTTATGTTCAGTCTATTGGGATTAAATCATAATCTAATCACGACAAACTATATATCACTGGAAATGTCTGAGACTTCTGAATACATGTTATGCCACAGTTGGATTTTTTAGGAAGACTAAGAGAGAAAAATCCAAATATTCTCCCCCTGCCAACCTGTGGGACCATCATATTTACACAATAATATTACTGTCTACACATTAAGCAATCATGACAAACTATACATCATCTGAAAGACTCCTATATTCTTAGTTTTCCATATATATGGACTGATTTTTGATAGATATCACTGAGCAACAGTTATTGATTCATTTGTGACAAGGAAACTCATTAGAATCCTAAACCATTACTACACAAATCCACATAGGAGCATATTTAGATGTTTTTTAAAGGGTAAATTCATATTAAATCAAACCAAATCTCTCATACTACTTTAGAATTTGATGCTTATTTTACAAATATTGTCAAAAGTATATAAGAAATGATGGTTCGTCTTCCTCTAAACATGCACAGAAGCAGAGGCGCGCTCATATGCTCACCAGTGGACACCGTATGGTCACCTGGTGGTCATGTGTGGTACTGCAGCCAAACTGACTGACAGCTCATCTTGGGGAAATCTGCTTCACATATGGAATATAATTTGTTCAGATGTTACAGCTTTAATTTTATGCCAAATGTGAGCTAAAACAGGCTCTGTTAGTTGCGTATTTCATGTAATTTATTAAAATATACATTTATTGTTTTATTTTTTTAGCAACTTAAAAAAGAACAGAACTTGTTTTATTAATTAAACTTTTTGAGCATTTTTCACTTCGGCTACAAGTCTTTAAAATGAGCGCAGGGTCTGTGCACCAAATTGACCATCATTAAAATCATTGAACGTGTCATTTCCTGTGTTAATGTGCAAAATGAGGGAGCGACAGTGAAGGGGTTAATAAGACTCTCTCTCTCTCTCTCTCTCTCTCTCTCTCTCTGTGTGTGTGTGTGCGTGTGTGTGCACAGGGGTGTAGGCTGTATATTCTATGAGATGATCACTGGACGTCCGCTGTTCCCCGGCTCCACCGTGGAGGACGAGCTTCATCTCATATTTCGGATCTTGGGTACGAGTTCTGGTGGGCTGCATGCTCAATGATGCGCTCAGCCATTGGCTCAGCCATGTACTTGCATTATGAGAACAGATCAGTGTAATGATGTGAACTCAGTGATGAAGCAGAGGGAGCGGTGTGCAGGGCTGAGATCAGACCTGTGCTGGGACTAATGAACAGAGTTGATTTATTCAGATTTAATCAAAGCAAAACTCTCATTACAGTTTTTGAAAAGTAACTCGTGTATTATTGCTTATATATTCTAGTATTATTGCTTCATTTTTTTTAAGTAGTGCATGACTTATTTCTCATTACTGACAAAAGCCATGTCATTATTATTATAACGTTACTGACCCCAGCACAGGTCATGAGTAATTCTCAGAAGTGTGATAAATACAGGCCCAAACAACTGAACTGCAGACCTCTGGCTCAGACTCTGGGCATCATCAGCTGCCGCTGAGTAATAGTTGGTGTGTGTTGTAAACAGAACTTCTCGTGTCGTCATCTTCAGGGTCTCCTACTGAGGACTCTTGGCCAGAAGCTTACAGCAATGAAAACTTCCTCTCCTACAGATTCCCTCAGTATGACGGCGAGCCGCTGGTCACCCACGCGCCCAGGTGTGTGTGTGTGTGTGTACAGCTTAAAGTGACATGTAAAGGCTTCACTAGGGTAATCAGGGTAAAGTTAGGGTAATTAGGCAAGTCATTGTATAACAGTGGTTTGTTCTGGAGACAATCCAACACTAATATTGCTGAAGGGGTGAATAATATTGAGCTTAACATGACTTTAACACTATTAAACACTGCTGTTATTCTAGCCCAAATAAAACTAATCAGACTCTCTCCAGAAGAACAAATATTAGAGGAAACACTGAAAATTTCTTTAATTGTTTGAGAAATATTTGAAAAAAAGTTCAAAGGAGGGCGAATA